AACGTAATCCTCTGTGGTATTTCAAACTCTACGGGCAATTCATGCAGCATTTCTTTCTTCTTCTTCTTTTTTTTTGCCTTTTTGTATTTGCTCTCCTCGTGGATTTGGAGTAGCTTTTATTTTCTGTGAGGAGAAAAAGTGGCCTAGCATTTTTTTTTTGTTTTTTTGTTACGGAGAAGTGTCATGTCTTTGACCTGCTGAGATCAAACCGAAATGTGGGTGTGTGTCACGGCCCGATGCAAGCAGCAGGGGAAATCTATTCTCTAATCCCAACAAGGAGAAACACAGGGGAAAGCCACAGGAGGCTGGAACATGCAGCCACTACTTAATGTTCCTCTGGTTTAGCCATTGGAGATAAGAGTTGTCCTTTCGGCAAAGGAACTCAACTTATGGAAGAAAAACACACATTTCTACGCCTTTATGGGGATGAATGTGCAAAGTTTTGAAGTTGCATTGAAGCCTGCACTGTTCCTTAAAGAAAACAAGCTTGACATTGGGCTATTTCAGGAGGATGTTGATGGAGCTGCTGACAGTGCTTTGTCCCACTTTAGCATTGAGATGTTGGCACCCGCTTTGGCCGATGGTGTGCTTGTGTCCCCCTTGCTGCCATTCACTCGTCCACAGTTTTCATCCAAGCCTTGTTTTCGTGCCAGCTTGCCCATTTGAGGCCGGTGGTCTGGGCACGCTCTCTCTGCAGGAACCTTTTGTTTCGCCCTCTACAAGCTGCGCCAGGCGTCCTTTAGCTCTCCCACCACAACCCTCTTTTCAAAATCTGTATTGTTAGAGATTCTCCAGGCAGACAATCAAAGAACACTTTCTGTAAAGTGGCAGTCAAGTTTTTTTTCTGCCCAGTCGTCCTGGAGCTGGTGTCCTGCTGTGAGAAGCACGATAAATGGGCTCATGTTTTTTTAATCTCAGCCTGACCATCTCTCATCACTGCTAGCTCTTCAGCTGTTGACCTCCACCTTCACCGCTGGCTTCTGACCCCTCCTCATTGTATCTCCTCTCTCATAGCGAGTTCCTATCACAATGGACGCCTCTCCATTTCAGTTCTCTGTATTGATTCCATCCTGCTGCACACAAACACATTCCTCTCTTTCTTAGTCCTCAACCATGAAATTCAGAGGCTCTCTGTTGTTGTGGATGAGTTTTACCTTGAGGAAATCGCTGGGTCCTGTCCCCTGATACGGATATATTTAGTCCAACACTATATCACACCTGCCTTTCACGGTAGCTGCTTCTAATTCTCATTGGAGCGGCTAGTATTCCCTTTTCCATTATAGTGGACAAGTGAAGCTGATACACCTAGACTGAATGCAGCTGTGTGAGTTTTTGTCCTGGTATCATTTTGCATACTTGCATTGACTTTAAACAGGCTTTCCTTTAGAGTGTGTGTGTGTGTGTGTTATCACGGTTATTTATTTACTATGTATACACTGCAGTTTGAGGCTTTCAGGACGGTTCCCAAAGGTTGCAGAATCTGCAATCAGAGGACAGATTAACCATCTCTGCGTTAATGGTTGTAAGAACATCGGCATGACTCGTCTCCTGAGAGCTAAAGAAATAACTTGGCAGCTGAATTACTCGTCAGATGGAGATCCCAGCTCCTTATTGTCCCCTTTCTGGACCGTAATCCTCCCTTCAGCACAGACCTTGGCCTCTTTATGAGGCAGTAGCACTGCCCTGTCCTCATTATCACAGAGCTACAGTGTGTCTGATTTTACATATTGGACCCCTGATTAATACTGATATTAATCTGCAGCTCACTAATTGGCTCTATCCTGCTTCAGGCATAATAATTTAGGCCATAATGACAGCAACATAAACAGAACATGCTGAGCTTTTGTTATAAATTCAAAGCAGAGAAAAGAGATGCCTAGCATTACGAACTTGCAGTAACTAGAAGAAGCTGCAGCTTTAAAAAATAAAAGATCTTACACATCTCTCCTACAACTAGGTAGTAAAAGTATATTATTCAAGCCTGTTTTCAAAGAGAAAGCTCTCAAAATGCAGATGATACCATCTGCTCAGCACCAAAAAGCAGCTAGCAGCTATTAGCAGCTAGCTAGAAAAGGTAGTGAAGCACTTTTCACCTACAGAGACATATCGTTCTAGACTTGATTATAAAACATACACGAATCAGCTAGCAATAAACACGACGCCAAATGAAATGGTACTGATGTTTCGTAACTGTTGGTTGTGGAAATAAGCTAACAATTTAGCTAATCTGGTCTATGTTGTGTTTACAGTTTGTTTCTGGGGCAAGACAATCTGTTACGGTTTGTAAAAAGCAAAAGGTAGACATTTTGTGCTTTCACTTTCATGTCTGTACGTTAATTATGAACCTTCCTATGCTAGCTGGTTTCCCATAATATCTAAGGTTAGGGTTAGTTTTTGTGTTAAGCATAGCTAACGTACCAGGTAGAAGAGTTGAATCATTTTGTCATCTGAAATATATCGAAAGATTTAAGATTTAAAACTTGTAACCTCTTACACCAGGTCCCAAATTAGGCCAGCACTCATTCAGCGTTATCCTTTATTAATGCAACGTTTAAGTCCAGCCCTCCCTCCGTCATCCAACTGTTTATCCATTTTCTACTTAATACTACCAGATTCCAAACTTTTGATGTGATTACAGAACTCTAAGACAACATTTTTGACACACCTCTTCCAAATATATTAGAGTTTGTTTTCTGTTTGTATAAATCCAGTTCTGTTATCCCTTAAGTACAAGAAAACCCCTGACGCATGCAAAGACTCTCTCGTATACACTCCCAACTGTTTTTGCTGACTCATCCAGGTCTTTGCTCAGGTAGCAAAAAAAACGCTGCCAATTCACCATCAACTTTCCTGTGTAATGGCTGATATAGAGAACATGTGGCGCTGGTAGACTGAGGTTATTTGTCAAGCTCTTGTGACTAATCTACCATCTGGTCAATATGCAGTGTTTTAATCAACAGTTCACATTGGGCAGATGGATCACTAAAATAATGTCATCATGATGCTACATTTCTTCTCGCACCTTTCCTTCCTTGGATAGAATTTAGATTTTTTTTTTCCTTTCAGGCGTCCTGAGGATGAACAGAGAAGTCTATAACAATGATGTTTTTTACTTACTGCAGTTTGTAGTATCAGGCTCTCAGGCTCTCTCATAGCCGATGGATTTTTTTCCCCCTTTTTATTTACAGTTGTCAAGATTCAGATCCACTTTTTTAGAGAATTGACACGGCGACCCTTTTTTGTAATGTCAAGCTTAGGGTGTAAAGCTCAAATAACACTCACAACATCATAATGTGTTTCAGAGTTTAAGTTGTATAAACACAAAATCTAACAAATCAAATCTTTTGGTTGAACAAATGTACAACATTTTTCTTTTCTGCTTCTTTATTAGAAAGTAGCTTAAAGGTTTAAAATCTGGTAGAACATGAGGCAGTATATCATCAGACAAAGGTAACATTAGCTCTCGGCCATCTTCTAGTATCTTTTAGTATCCTTTGTCTTTTCAGTTGCTGATCAATAGAGGAATTCTGATTAGATAATGATTTGTCACAGCAGTGCAGCATTTTCCATTATGAGTACTCAGTGTGACGTTAGAGGAAAGAGCTTCTTTAAACATGATAAACAGCTGACACAGTGTACCTAGGTACGTGGAAAGAAGTCAAAACAAAAAACCTTGAATCTTCTTTTAGCAGAAACCGACGCCTTCTTCCCCAACAAAACAACGAAGATCTAAGTCCGTTGACAGCGTAAGACGTCCACCTTCATTTAAACATCTCCTGATCCTTTTGGGGGTTTGGCTCTGTCCTGTAGACGGGATCCTTTCAGGTTTCCTAAGACCCTTTTGAAATGATATAATCTCAGTGATTATTCATTTCTTCCTCTAAGCAGGGTCTAAAAGCTTTCATTTACTTTGATTCAGTCTGACAGCAGCTCAGTTAAATGGATGCATCCTTCTTGAAAGTTAGATTTCCGTCTCTGCTCCTCTGACTGACATTTCTTTTCCACTTACAAACCATGTAACTGCTAAAGATCCACTCACAGACTGATGATGAGAACCTAACAAATCAGTCTCCTGAAGGCACTTTATTGCCTTATATAATTATATTTATAGGGATATACAACCTGTCTGGGGGCTTAAGAGCTTTTGGAATTTGACATTTAGAGAAAATGCTCTATCTATGGGCAAGACAATAACTTTTAGATAAAACATTAGCAAAAAGGCCCCAAAGAGATAGAGCCGGAGTGACTTTACCGGACAAGTGTGACACAACACTCTCTGTTTTCATTTTTCTTTTCATAATAACCAAGCTTACTGGATTGTTCCAAAGATGCGGTTAGATTTCATAGTGCTGTGATAGGTCAAATAATTGCAGCACAATGAAATTACATTATTCTGACCGCACGTGTCAATATGTGTACGACACATGGGTAATAGTGACTGTGCTAGGAGACATCAACCCGCCAGCGAACGCATGCAATTATGTAGAGATGCATGAAATAATTGCATGAAACATGGGGAAGTTGCGCATGTTTTCTGATTGAGTCATTGTTCTTCCTCCTCAGACCTTCTGTGTTTGTTTATCTTGTATGAAACCTCAAGGCAGTGTTACAAGTGTTAGGAAAGAAAACATGGTAGAGATAGTATAACAAGTACAACTTTATGAATAAAGTCTAAATCAGTTTATATTATTTATCTATCTTTACTCCTGGAAAAAAAAGCATTTGAGATATGAAATCAGTCAACTGTTGTGCAGTTCCTTAAAATGCACTTTCATTTTTGTGTCTTCATAAAACTACTGTAACTGTTCTCTCAATAAAGGAACCGTATACTGCCTTTTTTACTTTGGAGGGGTTGGTGTAACACTCGGTTGTTTGTGATCTAAGGTGCAGGGGCATTTCTCTCTCTCTCTGTTGTTTTTTTTTCCTACTGGTGAGAGGTGGAGGCGACTTCTTGCGGCTTCTGCAGGTTCTTATCTCTTTCTTCTGCTCCCCGTCCACAGATCGAGAAGATCATGACGCTGATTGGCGCTGGCATCGATTTCTCCAGAGATCAGCAGTATGCTACACCAGGTATATTCTCCTCATTATCTTTTTATTCTCTTCATTTTTTTGATAAAATTGGATAATCATGCATCACTGTTGGCTAAAAGGTTTAAGAGAAAAAGTACAAACTGTGATTTTTTTGTTGTTGTTGTTGTAGATCTTGGCACTATTTTCCAATATTTTTTCAGATCAGTATTATAATTAACGTCTCCAATGTTGCACTCTTATTTTGAGTTTTAACACCAAGTGACAGAGACACACGTTTGAGACCTCTAGCTTTTGGCTCTGTCTTATAACTTTGTTGTGTTAAGCATTCTGTACCTCCTCTCCTGTTATTCTCTACGCTTGTCAAAAGCCTGTCGTCAGGGTTGATGGATGGCGCCCGGTGACTGTGGCGGCAACTCAAAAAAAAAAAAAGAAAATCAGCTCTCATTATTCAACATTCACCTCCAGTTTACACCCTTGCCTCGTCCACATTCAAATCTGTTTAATGCAGTGCGTTCACTATGCATTCTCACACAGTTTTCTGTCTTTTTCATTTTTTGTTCTCGCTCTCTTGTCTGTTATGCCCCGCACTGGAGTGAGCCGTTTAAATATTAACCGCTACGCGTGTCAGGGGATGAGCTCATGTTGCTTTGGTGACTTGTGGAAAGCTGAGCCCACTGCAGTAAAGAAGTTAGAGCTCCAATCTCAGGCTTTCTGCTTGAAGTCTGAATCCACTCCTCTTTATTCTGTACATGTGAGCCATAAAGCTGTCAGGTGATCGTCAATAAAGCTGTCAGGTGATCGTCAAAGGACATCTTTGGACATTTGTTTTTTATATCCCCTCTCTGATTCAGTCCAGTGTTTGCCTCCTTGCGGTGTTAACTGGAGAGCAGCTGATTGGCTCAGTGCCTGCAGTCTCTTCTACTTTTCTCCTCTCAACTGATTGACTTATACATCAGAGTGAGAGGGATGAGGAGGAGGAGGAAGAGGGAGGGTGGAGGAAACCTAACTAGACTGATATACAGAAGCTGTAGAAGCTCATAGCTAAAACGCTCAGAGTAATAAGGGGTGTGAGGTGACGTCTGTAGCAGGCGCTGACAAAGAGCCGCCACCTGCAGTGAGCGAGGGAGAGATGGAGGGAGGGAGGGAGGGAGGGAGGGAGGAGGGAGAAGCATGCAGTGAGGAGAGAGAGAGAGAGAGAGAGGGGGCAAAGGAGGAGAGAGGCATAGACGGCAGAATTGTGAGCAGCCAGGACAATAGAAGGACGCTACCTTTAGCATTTGAGGAATCTGCCAAGAGTGGACTGCTGCTGCTGCTGGACGCATCCCACAGCCTTGTGAGAGACAGTTTCAGCACTTTGTCTGCAGGAGAGTTCATTCAGGGGGACAGATATTATTCAAGTGCTCTTTGAAGCTGCTTGATTGGATGCTTGACTGAATTTTATTTTTCCTTCTTGACACATTTGCAAGCTTCTGGAGTGTCCGAAATGGGACTTTTGACGGGGGAAGCTTTTCTAAAAGAGGATTGCTTTTGGCAGAAAAGATGATGAGCGCACTGCAGGGAGTAAAAAGGCTTTACGATATGTATTTACATATTTCTAGAATGTAATGTTAACATGTCTCTATGTTCTTGTGAGTTGTCAGCTATATTTAATCCTCGACCAGAACAAAAAATATCGGATTCATTGTTCTGTCTCATGAGCAGATACTTGTTCTACTCCGTTAACTTTTTACTGTGACTGAGATGCTGCTTCAGATAGAAATAAACTAAGGGAACCTGGTGTGTAATAACTGTTTCCCAATGTTTTTACATGTGGAGTGGAGTAGAGTGTTTGTCCTTGTAGCGGTTAGGCTCCTCTCTGCTCGGCTGCTGACAGCTGTCACTGAAGCTTTTTTCCTCAATCAATCTCAGCTGGTGACAGCGTGTCGCAGGTTCCTGTCTGTCCTGCAGCTTTTCCAACGCCGTCATTCTCAGGCCGGGGTCCGTCTGGGCTGCGCGTGGTGGATTATATGATGAGAAAGTATGGTCTATCAGTGTTTGGTAATTAACTGTCTCTGGGTTCTTTACTTCAACTTTACAAAGAACTTTGCACTCTGGCAGACACAGGTATACTTCTCTGGACGGCTTCTTCTCCTGTCATGACCTGCTGCTCTCCTCCCTTACTCCTCGAGAAAAGAAGCTGAAAGCTTTTGTTTTTGGACAGAAAATGCTACCTCCTGAAAACCTGCAGATGTTTCTGACTGACTATCACAGCTAGAATCTGTGAAGCTGGTGTCAGACCAGCTCCGACCCCCATATATTATCTCCTTCACCCCTGATCTCAGGGGTGCCTGAATTCATCTTGGGTGATTGTGGTTCGGCCCCCGCTGCCCTGCGGGAGCTGACGCCCTGTCCACACAGGACACTGTCTCCCTCGCCATCCTGCTGCTGGTGCGCTCGGCTCTGCTGGCCGAGAATGATGTGGCAATGCCACGTCTCCTCCTCAGAGTGCCGCTGCTACCGACTCAAAGGCTTCTCCCTCCTGAAACGTTTCCCCCTGTCGGCAGGTGCTGCGGGCCGGCTGCTGGAACAGCCTGTGGGGGACTGGCTGGAGCACGTGGGGCTTCCTCAGTACGAGAGCAAACTGCTCCTGAATGGTTTCGACGACCTGCACTACATGGTGAGTTCCTCCTTTCTATTTTGTACAAAGTGACTTTAATTGAAGTTAATGCTCTTTGGTTTCCTCACTCTTCTCTTTTTTTTTCGTCTCCTACTTCCCGCTTTTACTCCTACTTAACTCCAGTTTGTGTCTTTGTGCATTAATCCAATTGGCGCCAGCCTCCATTAGCAGTGAGATGATCCCATTAGCTGCTTCTGAGGTTCAATTAGCTGAAATCCTGTAACAATCCTCCCCACTTTATCAGCAGCTACAACATTGAGTTACCGGAACTGTTTATTGTGTGTTGACCCAGCACATGATTAAATATCACCCTTTACATCACACACTTTGCCTTTCCTCTCTTTTTGGTGACACATTCTTAGCCTGAGCATTTCATTGATATTTGCTAGATTCACGAATCCACAGCTCGATACTATGCAGTTTCACCTGAGCTGTCGCATATTGTGTTTACAGCCACTTTGATACCATTGGATCCGGTTGGCTGCATGTTGAATCAGGTGTATGTTGCACTCTCAGACAGTCTGTCTCCAGCTCAGACTTACAGTCAGGTGGCACGGCTGCCTGAGAAGCAGCTGATGCTCAGCCAGAGTGGAGGAGCACTAAGTGAGCAATGGGATGCTGTTGCCAAGCCGACACGTTTATAGAGCCCACAATGTGCGACGCCACTATGAGTTGGCTCTGTTGCTCGTGTCAGTAATGAAGACTGATGGAGGAAAAGGACCATAGGACCCAGCTGGTAGGCTGAGCTAGTGGGCAGGGTGGAAATGAAACGGCCACGTCCTTTTGGACCAGGCACATCATTTTTCTTTGACACAATCTGGTTTTCATGTCATCCAAACATCGAGCTTTATGTGATTTTTACCGATCACATATCAGTTTTTAAAGCTGCCAGCTGCTTTCAACACAATCACGTTTGTCCTCATAGGTTCCTATACTCCCAACCCCAAAAGGCCTTACACAACACCAATCATTTAAAATGAGCCGGATTCTGAGTTCTGCTTATACATTTTTTACAAAAAAAATCATCTCAAAAGATAGAACCAATTTGTGGCTTTGGTTTAGCTCAGTTGTTAGATCAGGCCCCACATGTACAGAGGCCTACAGTCCTCGTTGTACTGGTCATCAGTACATCACCGATAGAACTTTTTGGTTTACTTCAGTCATGTGAAGAAAAATTGCCATGGCCCCCTGGACACCCCCCTCGACACGTCCCTGGGGGACAGCATTTGGATTTCTAAGCTCCACAAGGACCGCATTTTGTCCTTGAGCTGTGACCCTTTTGAAGACATGCATACTATTTACTTCTCTAAATAATTAAAGCTCTTAAGCGAGGACTTTTCAGCTGGTAATAAAGCAAACAAAAATTAATATTGATGCTTTTATTTGACCTCCAAATGCAAACAAGACCAACAGTGAGGAGATTGATGATCATTTTGATGTCTTTATTTTTAATGCCTGTAACCACTGCTGCAGAATGTCAGACGAAGTGAAACAGCCTTTGTTTACATTCTTTACAGCAAAGAGTGATACATCTGATTAGTTTAAAGAAAGCATGAGGAGATTTGATCAGAAAGCTCGACTTACTCATGTACAGGGCAAGATCAGCAGAGGTACCAGCTACAGTAAACGTCTGCAGCGCTTGAAGTGAAACTTCCCCAATGGGACAATATTGCATCTCATAGTGTATTACACCGCTTTGTCCACAGGGGGCGCCCCAATCAGCACAAACTTCAAATTCCTCACAGGGGCTTTAATTCTAGGCGAAGCATACCCCTGCACATTGATCATCAGGAAACCAGAGCTCAAACATGTGACCTCCTGACATGTCTGAAGTGTTTCGCACGCAAACTAAGCCGTGTAGCTGGCAGTGTCATTTTGATTTACAAGACACAATGTCAGACGTGCTCCATAATTCAGTCCCAAAGTGAAGCCCACGTAAAACCTTACAGGGGGAAGAACATGTTTTTTTTCCGTACGTGCTCTCCAGCAGCAGGTTGTATCTTCAAAGGTGTTTTCATGAGCCGACAGATGTTTTCTGTCTGCTCGGGAAGATAACACGTTGCTCGAGGTGAAAGCAGTGTTTAAAGCTTCAAACACTGCACAGGCTCGGGAATATTTAAATCAAGCGAAACTACTTGAGAAATCGTGACAGGAGTAGGCGCACGCCGAGCCCAACCCCCCCAGAGAAAAGATCAGAATGAAGTCCACAGTGTAAACATGTGGGAGGTTAACAAATCAAGCTATTCTTCAATCCATATCTTTACATCAACCATGGGTTATTGTCTTTTATAGCAGTTCAAAGCTAAAAATGTCACATTGATGAGTACTAAAAATAAATCTGTAAAATGTCACGCCCTCATTCTATAGCTGTAGTAGCTGTCTGTGTCAGACTTATTTCAGAATACATCCAATAATAATCTTTAATCTACTCTGCATAATTTGAGAAAAGAGAAATCCTCCACTTACAGTATCTGCCTCCCTCTCTCTCTCCCTCTCTCTCTCTCTCCCTCTCTCTCATCCAGCGCCATCAACAGCCATGTTTAACTCCACCATTAAGCCTCTGAAGTTACTCTCAGGGTTTAATCTTCCTGCCGTCTTTTTAGTCTTTCACACTCTTCTTCCTCAGCCCTCAGTCTTCTTCCTTTCAAAGCAGGAAGCTGGTGGAACAAAAAAAAAGAATCTATCTTTAAACACAGCTTAGAGCCCACCTGGCCTCCTGAAGTCTGTGGAGGATTTAGACAAAAAAAAGATCTGTAGCATTTAAACAGTGTGTCCTTCCCCTCAGTCAGTGTTGACCCTTTTTCTGGTTACACAAATCACAGTTTGGTCTCAATTGGAAAAAGAGAATTACCCTCTGAGTCACCTCGCCTCTGTGAGACTTTTCTAAATGTGTTGGATGTGCTCTGGTGCAGCCGAGTGTTCACAGGAACTGTGATACCAGACAGATCTTTTTCTTTTTTTTTCATTTCCCGCTTTGAGGCATAGATTCATTGAGCCATCAAGTGTTCTATATATGTAGTAAAAAAGAATATGAGACGTCCTTAAATATAATTACACAGAGACCATTTTACATGCCTTCATCTCCTCACGTCTTGATTATTACAACAGCCTCATCCCTCGCTTCAACCAGAACTCTATAAACCAGCTCCAGATTGTACAGAACTCCGCTGCCAGTCTTCTTAACAAGCAACGAGAAAAGTGACCACATAACCCCCAACTTGTGCTCTTACTGCTGACCTTTAAGGCTATTCCTGACCTCCCTCCATGTATCATATCTGACCTCCTGGTAACATATGAGTTAGGGCTGGGAAATGAATCCGGTTTACATTTCAGGTATGATTTTGTGGCGCACGACTTGTGCTTGTTTTGTCATTTTGTCAAATGAAATGTAAACATTTTTCACTTCCCTTTTTTCACTTACTGTGTTTAATAATCGTGATTTCAGTATCAATGGAAAATATTTGTGATTAGGAATTTTCCATTATCGGGCAGCTCTACTATGAGCCAGTACACAGCCTGAGATCCCCGGACAAAAGTCTTGAAGGTGTTCCTGAGGCATTTACAGTCAAAGCTCTGAAACGAGCTGCCCGAGGAAATCCGGTCAGCAGACTCAGTGACCATTATTAAATCACTTTTTCCTGATTTCACCTGAGTTCATGGACCATCCTGTTGTTGTATTTTACGAGTGCTATTACTTTTCATAAATCATAAATCAAATTTGAAAATTGAGCAATAATGGAGCAGCAAACTGTACCAGTGGCTCTCCGATGAGATCCTTTGAATCTTCTCATGCGCATGAAAACAATCATTTGGAAACAACCGGAGCCAATGAGCAGCAGATCCCTAATGAAACAGTGTTTACTCTGCCATTCAGACCGCTGTGATCTCTGTCTGTCCTGCAGGCTCGCTTTAGAAATGGATCAATAAACAGCACTGATTGTATGGTGTTCAAGCACCGGAGCAGAGGCAAGCCTACCTCTGAAACCAATTAGATGCTTTTTATCGACTCGTGGAGCAAATGTCCTCGTGGAAAAAAAAAGCTCAGAGCGGGCATGCGTTTCTCCAGCGCTCACTGGTACTGACAAGGAATGGCCCGTTGACGCTAAACAGTTCACTTTGTCTACCACAGTCCTGCCTCCTCGCTGCTAAACACCAAGTTAGTTTGTATTCAAGGTAACTGTGTCAAAGTCGGACTTCTGCAGGGACATATTTTGATGTAGCCGGCATTCATGGAGCAGGCTAAAGGAGAACTTAGTGGAGTAGCCTCAGCATGTTTACAGCAATAGCATGGCTTTACTCTAAAAGTTTTACAAGACAAAGAGAAATATCAGCAGAGCAGCATCTGTTTGAGCGTCAGCGCTGCATCAGTTTCTCCTTTCTTACAGTATAACCTTCTGTCCTCGTTGTTATTTTTCTCCCATTAAACAAATGCAAAAGTGAGTCAGTGGCACCAAAGCCTGCGGACAGATAAGGAATTCAGTAATGGCTTCATGCATTAGATTGCTAATGGATTAATAGATTTTTCTGTTGTGGAATGGTAGTGATGTATTAGTCCATTTATCTCCTTGAAAAAACATTTGTGCAGGGATTTAACGAGTTCGTTTGAAGAGCATGTCTGCATTTTCTTTGCACTGCTTTCCTGGAAGCCGTTTTTTGTCAGCCTCTTTAGGAGGACAAACTCAGATTTCGGTGCTGTTGGTTGGTTGTCCTTTTAGACGGTGGGGGATAAGTGATCTGTGCCCGAGCTGGAGGGCCCGGTCTGAATTCAGAGTGTTTTGAAACCAGAGGGACCGCTGTGACTGTTCTCCGGATCGGGCCGAGGAGAGAGCAGCATTTCAATGAGAGAGCAGGAGGACAGAGGAGATGGATGGGCCACACAAGCACAGACACAAAGCCACTATACCTCACACTAATCCAGATGTATTCTTTTCTCCCGTGTTGTGCTGAAGTAAGCTTTCTTGCCCAACCGATGCATTCTCACTTTTTGGACCTGCTGAGCCGGTGATGAGGAAGAAGTCGTACCACATTTCCCCACAGAGTTGTCACGCCACGTTCTCAAGTTTTTTTTATGTTTTCTCAGACTTTGTGTGGCTAATCAGGAAGCAGCAGTTGTAAATTTGGTATTTATGCTGCAGGTGATGGATTATTTATTGACTCTGGCTGACTACCATTCAAGGACTCGTAGCCCTTTTCCTTTTTTTGCTTCATGAGGGTTCAAATGTGAAATCTTGGCATTCAAGTTCATGCAGCAGAATGTCATCAATTTCTATAAACTGTTTTCTAATAATGAAAACACATTGCAGCAGACTTTCATCAAAGATGGCTGCCAACAACCTGGACACTTGTCCAAGCTTTGAATCAATGGCTGATAAATGATGTTGTGCAAAACAGAGTATATTGAACAAGAAACATTATGATTGGATGTTGGGACTAGCCGCCTAGCCACCTACCTGACTGCTTCATCACCTCTTATATTGCTCTGATTGGTTTCAGCTCCTAGTGACACTTTAATGAAACCCTTTAAATGTGAAAATGTACTGAGAGGTTGTTGTTGTAATCACATGTGCAGATTAGTGTAACAAATTCTTCCCGTCTTCCCACCTCTGACTGTACTGTATGCTCAGGACTTTATTGATGATTCTGGGGTAGTGGAGACATTAAGTGTTGGTGGGTTCAGGGGGCAACAGGTTTCTGGAGGGGTCCTTGGAAGTTGTTTCCCAGGGGCCCGGAGTAGTGTTGATCTGGATCTGTTCTGACATTTTAACAGCATATCTTTTTTTGGAATAGTAGTCAAAAAAGAAAGTTTGATATACAAAGAACAGAGCTATCAGTTAACACATGGATTGTTTGTCTAGCTTTAAAAATTTAGATTTATCAGAAAATCAATTATTTAAATGTTTGGTGATTGATTGTGACTGAGTCCGCTGATTCAATTGATTGATGTGTGAAATAATGATTTCAGCAGTTATGTCACTCCTGTGGCCCTATAGACCTTCTCTTAAAGACGTATTACAGATGATCGGCTTTTCACAGCAACATTTTTTGGACGGGGAGGACTCTGAGCATCTGCTGTTAAAAAAAATATGCAAATATCATATAGTGTATATCATACATTCTTAATAGATTAAAAATATAACTTCAGACATAAAAATGGAATGTCTCGCGGGAAAGGAGCCACAGTCGGGATTTGAACCTGGGCCGCTTGCTTGGAAGACTATAGTCTCCATACAATGCGCCATCAGCGACCACAGTTTATTCATTTTTTCATAAAGGGCACATACATATCGATTTTATCTTTGTCTTCAACTTGCATCTAATCTGGCTTAATTTGAAGAAGTTATTAATAGAGTGATTATAAAAAAAAAAAAAAAAATATTTTATTGGTGTTTCTTTGTCTTATTTTCCCTGATTTGTGAAACCATGAACACTTTTATCGTTGTGTTGTTTCATGGAACATCTGTTTTGTAACTTGTGTGTCATAATGATGTCATCGTCGTCGTCTGGCTGGCTGCCTAACACATCTACCCACAGGTACAAATAAAGTAAACCTCAACCTAATGCAGTAAGAAAGGAAACAGCTGCATTAGAGTGCACATCTGCATTACTTAGGAGGATGAGTGTTTGAAGACGCTCTTTAAAATGTGAGCAAAGAGTGTGGATGGAGTGTGCTGGAGCTCTCCTTCTCCCCACAGAGCCATCTATCAGCTCATCTCCAGAGGGACAGTAATGCAATGATCCATGCACTGTGAAAGTGCTATTATCCATCCAGCTCTCCGAATAGTTTTATCCTCCGCTGGAGAGGCAGCGATCAGCGTGTAGCTGCTCACAGATAATGGGCTCTATGCTGTCAGTTTAGTGCAGAGTATTAAGGAATAAAAGAGGTGAGTCATGATGCTCAGTATGAGCTACAGCAGGAGCCACTTTCTCCATCACATTAAGGAGCCACAACACTTCCTGAGACATTTCATGCACTCTTTGGTCTTCACTTTTTTTTTTTTAATCCATGTGTGTGTTTGTCTGCTGTCTGTCTGAGTTTGTTCTCCAGTCTCTGAGTTTGTGTCTTTCTGTCAGTCATTCTTAATCTTTCTGTCTGTCTCTTCATTTCTGTCCGTCTTGTGTTTTTTTTTTTTGTGACTTTGTCCTACTTTCTTTCTTTTCTTTTCGTAGTGTTTTTTTTCTCTCAATCATTTCACTTTCTGTCTTTCTTTCTTTTTTCTTTCTTTCTTTGTCTCTTCCTTTCTTTTATTCTCCTTTGTCTTTCTTTCTGTCCTCTGTTTCTGTCTTTTTTGTTAGTTACTTTCGTTCTTTCTCCTGTTTTTTTCTGTCTTTCTTTTGTTTCTTTCTTTCCTTGTGACAGTTTTTTCTTGTCTTCCTTTTTTTCTGTCTATTTTTCAATCTTTCTTTCGGGAACTTTTCTCTCTTTCTCAAATTGCCCACAGACCAACAGCTGAACCCTCGTAAGAAAAATCTCATCACACTCTCATGCCCTCTGTATGTCGTACCACAACATATCGGAGGCTTACTCATTGTGATTCCACGAGCAGCTTTACTCTACGTTTTTTTTCCCCCCAATCACTTGACAGGCTCACTCCTCCCCTCCGCTCATTCTCTCTGCTCCTCGTTTGCATCGACGAATTCTGAATGAAAAACAAGCCATTAGGTTTGACCTACAGACAGCTCCACGTCTGTCCTGACACTTGCGCGTGTGTGTGTTTGTGTGTGTGTGTGTGTGGATTAACTTGTGATTGATATTGGAGAGTCAGCTACATGTGCCCTGAGCTGTCACGATTTGTTCCTGAGGCAGCATGACGGTACTTAAACACACGCGGTTTAGATGCTGACCTTAACTTTAAAGTTACGTCGCGAGCATTTATGGCCAGAAAGATGAAGTCAGGGCTCATCCTGGCTTCTTCTCTGTCACCAGAGTAGAATCGCTTCGTAGTAACTCCTTTATTCTGACAGTCGAAACCTTGAGATCAGCGAACGGGACGCTTATAATGAACGATTGTGAGTGCAGAGGTAGAGTCTTTCCTGTGACATGTCACAGAGTTTTGATTGTCTCCCCTGCAGCCATCACTCACAGTCGGCTATCGATGTGTCGTATTCTCCCCCCTCCATCACAGATCGCTGACCACTCCGCTCTTCTGACATTGATTCATCGCTCTTTTTCTCGATTATCCATTACCTGCCACACAGTCCCAAAGGTGCTGCTGTGTGTAACCAAAGATGGGTTACACAGCTCTGTTAGCACCCCCCTTCCAACACACACACACACCCTCACATGTACAGGGACGTCTCATGTAAGGGGTTATCGATGTGGCCTCCAGGCTACAGTAAGTGGGAGGAGCTTTAAGATGTCATGAAGAGTAACCGACCTTTTTACTGCAATGGTAGCATTTGTTATGATCAATACCGAGCCTGCAGCATAAAGCTCCCCTCATGGAGGCTTTGTTTTAGGTAGGCAAAATACATACAGATCTTTTAGAATGGAAGCCTTTTATCATTTAACATACTCAGTTGCTGTTTTCTCTCTTTGTTTTGTTTTTCCCGTCTACAGGGGAGCAATGTCATGGAGGACCAGGACCTGAGAGAGATCGGGATCACGGATCCGAGCCACAGGAAGAAGATCCTGCACGCGGCACGTTCGTTGCCCAAGGTGACAAATCCCTGATGACTTTATTCAACTCTCAAGTCACTTAAGTGAGAACTGATACAGGTGTGTGTTTCATCGCATCTAATGTCTCAGGAGGAGAAGACATGCAGAAAAACAATGCTGCATGAAGTTAATGGCGGACAAAGCAAGAATGACAGTTTTCTGCTTTTACATCAATGCTAGGTGTAATTGGAAGTATTCACAGTATCAACCAATGAGTGGAAAAGAACATAATGTCGAGCAAAAAGAGTATGAAGCTGATTTATTACATGCACAACATTTGCAGCAGTCGCACACTGGGCGCATTATATGAACATCATCACCCTGCCCATTTGTTCACACTGAATTTTCCTGAATATCACCGGCTGTGTTTACACATCTGCTTACCCCAATCCCACCGAAATTTTAATTTGGGGGGCTTGCAAGAAAAACTCCTTTGCGGCCTGTCACACATCAAGATCACCCAGAAGAATTGTGAAATTTTCAGGGGTTTTGTGCTTTTAGGATTTAGGATTCATTTTTGTACTTTTTTGTTTGTTTTTTACCTCAAGTAGAAATGAAGTTATGTATCAATCAACAAACCTTTATTTGCTTATCAAAGCAAGGTTGCCTCCAAAAGTCAGAAAGGAATTTGTGTAAAAAAAAAAAAAAAAGATGACATATATGCCCCAGATGTCATCTTAAAGCCTTCAAAGCATCGGTGCCTGATTTTGTCTTTTTACAGGTGAAAGCTCTGGGCTGTGACGGCAGCAGCTCCCTCTCCTCTTGGCTGGAGAATCTGGGCCTGCACGAGTACTTGCACAACTTCCTGGCCAGCGGATACCGCTCTCTGGACTGTGTCAAAAACCTGTGGGAGCTGGAGATTGTCAATGTGAGTCACGGTGACACAAGACTAAAGGGAGTATCAGAGGGTGAAATTAGTTTCACAGAGTGTAAAAGGAAAACTCGGGGAAAAGGGAGAAGTTTTGTAGTTTAGTTTTGTTTGGGGAAACGGGATTCTCAAACTGTGAAGGCAAATATGCCAAACTTTGGTTATGAAATAACAGAGCTGAAACTAAACAATGCAGCCTATAAATAAGTTTTTGTAAGTCGAACAAACTTCTGAAAGTTGTTTCTTTTTAATTAGACAGTAGAGTCTCATTTTTGGGTTACAGACTTCAAAGCTCATCACGTTACTTACAAAGCAGCTGCGTCGCCGTCTGATGATTCTCGTCACTTCTGCTTCCTGAAATGCTGCTCCATGTGCTCCCCAGATAATTTTCTCTCTCCTCTCTCTCCTTTAGGTGCTAAAGATCTCCCTACTTGGTCACAGGAAACGCATCATTGCCTCATTAGCGGAAAGACCCTATGAGGAGCCTCCAGTGAAGCCTCCTCGATTGTCTCAAATCAGGGTGAGTTTGTTTCACTGACAGCTTTCTGAGTTCCTCAGTTTTCTTTCTTCTGAAATCAAATTTAGCAGATTTCTCACGACTGACTTTATCAAACTCTGTCTCTCCAGTGCCAAGACCTTCCTGGATCCCAGTCCTCGTCCCCTCTCAGTCAGATGGAGTCCTACTCCGGTCGTTCGATGGACCCTCTGCTGCCAATCGCAGAATCAGGGAGGAAAAAAGTGCCAGAAACCGACTATGACGTTACCCAAAGATATCGCAGTGAACGACACAGATCACACGTATGTTCTGTTTTATTTGTGTCTTGAACCCTCGTGTCTCAGTGTGATGCAGTGATGATATGTTTCGTAATAATCGTGATTTTTTTTTTTCTAGGAACGGTACGACGAACGGCATCGAGAGCCTCGCCTGACCCTACGGCCGCCTAGTCTGGCAGCACCGTACGCTCCGGTCCAGAACTGGCATCATCAGCCTGAGAAGCTCATCTTTGAATCCTGCGCCTACGAAGCCAATGTAAATTTATGCCTTTCGTCCTCTCACATACCCAGAATACAGATTCACTTAACTTGTACCCTAATCTTGCATTTTGTCCCTCTCCTCTTTCGTTGACAGTACCTCGGTTCCATGCTTATCAAGGATCTTCGGGGTACTGAGTCCACGCAGGATGCCTGTGCCAAAATGCGGGTATGCCTCAAGTTTCTTCTTCAGAGAAAATCAGGACATAAAGCATGTAGATACATTTAAAGTATTCATGTCCTTTCTTCCTGTTTTTCCTTTTTTCCTCCAGAGGTCGACGGAGCAAATGAGAAAGGTCCCCAGCATTGTCCTCTCGATAACCTACAAGGGTGTGAAGTTCATCGATGCGGCCAATAAGGTCAGTGACTTCATGACCACAGACTCGTTCATGTTTCTCTAACCCGGCGGGGATCCAGCTTTCTTATTTTTAACATTATGTTGACAATGTTAACAAAAACAACCTTTGAATGGTTGCCTTGGAAGCTCATTCTGCTACTACTTTGTATTCCTTCCCTTTTCCTGCTGCAGCTGTAAATTCAAGCTTCAGTGTCTCCTCTTTACCGCCTGTCTCCTGTCCATTGTTGTAAATTGTGTGTAATAACACAATCAAATAACAAACATTGCAGCCAGTATAGTCCCAGTTTGGATCCTCATGATGCCTCTCTTCTCTGTGCAGAACATCATTGCGGAGCACGAGATCCGAAACATATCATGTGCCGCCCAGGACCCAGAGGACTTGTGCACATTTGCTTACATCACCAAGGACCTGCAGACCAGCCACCACTACTGCCACGTGTTCAGCACAGTAGACGTGGTAAGAATACACGACTCATACAGAAAACAAGCTGATTTATCTATGACAGGGGGAATTACGCCTGCTTATTCTGCATTATTGTGATTAGCGTTTGGATTAACTTTTTTTTTTAACATAAACATGAGGAGGAAAAGTGTTGAGAACTTTCCCTGCTTTAAATTTGAATTCCTCCAACATCAGCTCGTGTATTTACACTGAGTAGATGTGACACTGTTATCTATAGACTGGCCTGTCTCCTCGAGGTGTCACGCTCCAGTTGGGGTTGATTGCCTCCCTGCGCTACTCTGACCATGATAAGTAGCCCTCCATTACTTACCCTGTCCCCTATGAGATGTGATGATTATCCTGCTAATCTCCCTCATAATGCAGCCGGGGCCACTGCAGACTAAACTCAGCCCGACAGCATTTGTTTCCTGGTTCCCTTAAACTAATGGCCACGCTTTAACGGAAAGTGCTAAAGTAGGTTGGTAACCATCGAAAGCCACATCCGTCATGAGGTGTGATCAGTTATTGCAAACTGTATTGATCATAACTGCTGCTATCAGCCTCCGCCAGACACCAGCTTCAGCACACAAAGAGAACAGAGCTGATCACATCCTGACTTCATATAAATATGGACGACGCGTCTCCTTCTCCGTCTGTGGTACAAATTTGAAGCTACCCTGCAACAGGCCCTGACATATTGCGACGTGGTGCCTAGACACGCGCAGAAAAGATCGGCAAGTGAAGCCGCAGACATGTAATTAACTTCCTGACAAGTGTCAAAGATCCCTCAGGCCGGTACAGTCCACAGCACAACAGATTGAAGTGGACACTCCAACCGCGGAAAGTTTAATTACTTTACCTCTCTCACCATTCCTCCTCTGCTCTGCTAATCTGATGAAGAACACCACAGGAGCTGCATTTGTCAACAGAGCTGTGAATCGTGAATCGCTCTGTTCTGCGGCAAAATAGATCATTAAAACCAAAGTTCTCTGTTAAATGAACCCTTGGCAGTTCAAAGTGTTACAGAGGCCTACACCCATCAAACACTGTAATCCTGTGATGGGTGCGGACAGGGGCCGGGCCTGAAGAAGCACACGTGTTCTGAAGCTGCCTGAGAATAATTTCTTACTGGACTTTCTACTGGCGATATTTCAAACATCACACTTCATCAGAGATTTTGCAGAAAGGAGCAGACTCAGTTCTAGCGTTGTTAAGAGTGAAACCAGCTGCTGTGGAGGTCTCCCAACAACCCAAACACAACGACACCATTTGTGACAACTTTAGCAAGAAGATACATTTTGCTGAGTTGGAAACAGAAACCCCCACCAGCTCACTTTACTTTAAAGAAAGATGTTTCGAAGCACCTACATGAGAGGAAGGTTACATGTACTTTCCTCAATATGGCAACCTTTTATTGACTGAGACAAACCCATGAGTGAGAAAAGTTACATGATGTGAAACAAATTACACCCTTTTTTTTTTATTGTTTCCTGTTATATCTTAATTATGAATATGTACAGAATGTATGTGTAATCTATAATGATAACAAACTATCACTGCTGAATCCAGGTTTAACTTTTTCTTTTTTTTAAGTTTGACATATCCAATCTGTTAACATGAAGGAGGTGGGGTTTATGACCTATACTGCAAACAGTCAGTAGGGGGAGCCCTATATCTTTTGGCTTTAATTTCAGGGGGATGTAGTTTCATTTTTTTTTTATAGGGTTTATAAATACTACATATAATGTCTCATCAGGGAATTTAGTAAACAGGCATTTTTTCTTCAAGGCACTGAGAGGTTATTTTGGGTTATTTCACAGCTCTTGTTTCTGCTTCATGTGATTGTTGTTTTTAATGTTGTTGTTTTTTTATGTGAGAAGCTTGAGTCCTCTGTCTTTATTCTGAGGGGCTTTGTCATATTTGGAAGCTGTCAGAGTATAACAAAAGAGTGCAGCTTTAATACTAAGCTATACAGCGGATGAATCCACTTCAGGTACTGAGGGGAGCTGCTTGCTGCAGCAAAATGCTCGGGAGATTACTGCCACGCCGTGTTACGCAATTTTGTTTTCCAGAGAGGGAATAAAAACTTTGTTCTGATATGTTTTTCATCTCACTGCGAGCTGAGTTTAGTTTTGTTCTCTAGGCTGGGAAAACTTTTTAAGAGTACCTTAAAACAGCTGCTTCCTCTTTTTCTTTCTCGTTTAGAACCTGACCTATGAGATCATACTGACCCTCGGCCAGGCGTTCGAGGTGGCCTATCAGCTGGCTCTGCAGGCACAGAGGACCAAACAGAACCAGCACCTCCCAGTGGGACCCGGCTCAGAGGTTATTGAGACCAAGTCCAGCCGACCTGTTCCCAGACCAAGAGGCAGTGTACGGAAGTCGGCGGTGAGTTTGAAATCAGTGATATGACAGCACAAGACACCGTTTACAGTACATTACAGAATAGGAGACAGGGATGGCTCAGTACTTGTGTTCTGAATCAGTAGTTTGACTCTCTCTGTGTGTTCTGGTCTGAACTCAGTCAACCAGAACACACAGACATGTTACACACATTTGGCAGGACTTACACTTCCTTAGGACATATTACTACATTGATAAGTGCAATTTTATTATGTAATGGTGCAAAAGCAATGAAAACACATTTCCAAGTATGTTGCACTTGCATATAAGAGCTGTTAACTGTTTGTAGATTATCATCTTAGCTAAGAACAAATCTTGTAGAAGGAAACTTTGGTGAATGTCAAATCATTCTTGAAAAGTAAGTAAGTCGGTTTTAAGAACCTGTTTCTTCCTAAGAACGGCTGTTGAGTGAGGCCTAATGTCTAGTTGTCTACAATATCTAAGTAATCCTGAATGTTTCCTGTACTGTACATTTAAGACAGGAAGAAAACAGGAAATGCCAAAAGCTAGAACAGCGTTGTTTTTCTCGCCACAAATGGACCAAATTTAAGCAAATACAGTCTGTAAAAATGCTCCCGAACAGACTTTGATCAAGGCGAATGCAACAAGTTGTGTTGAAGTTTTGACCTCAGTCATATTCACGCTTCTTCTGAGTAAGTGACACTGTACCAGAAACTCCTCCTGTTGAAACTGAAGCCTATCACACGTTATAACACTCCCTGTGCCAGTAGTAATCTTTTTAGGTTAACAGAAATCTCCCCGTTTTTCAAACTACACTTCAGATAACATATTAGAAAGTCTAAGAACATTTGTATCAGGTCTCCAGCTTATTGCATTATTATGAGTACACAGTGATGATGTTTGTTTGGCCATTTGCTTTAAACCATTAGTTAGAGAGCTGGTGCTGAATATCAATGAGGTAACTATTCCTCAGGGAGTCATGTTTGTCTGCAGCTTAATGAACTCAACAGAATCATGTCTATTGTCACTTCTCCTTGTTGATGCCTGTCTTTTTATCCCCTTGTATTTTTGCTAAGTATAATTTCAACCTTTTCAAATCTAATGCACTTTTCAACACACGCCTCTCGCTTCTCATTCCCAAAGTTACCGCAGTTGCTCACATCCAAGTCTGTATGCTGCCAACGTCTTATCTATGTTAGCTATAACAGGCCAGACTCCTCATGTCTCATGCTTTTCAAATCTGTGTTACTTTCTCTCCATTGAATTCTCTCTAAACCCCTCTTCCTGTCTGTTTCTCTTGTGCTCTTTACTTTCTTCTTCTTCTTCTTCTCCTTCTTCTTCTTCTTCTTTCCCCCTGGCGGTGTTTATCTCTCCCAGGACTCTCCTCCTCTCGACAGTCGTTGCTGTTACTGTTACACCTGCACCACCCACCGTCCCTCCTTTCTACCGCTGCACTCTGCTGCCCAGGTGCTGCCTTCACATCCACCTTTCATCCTGTGCCACCTCTAGCCTCTCACATTGCTTTGTTTTCTGCATACCTACTTTCTCCCCCCCCCTCCCCTCACTGCCTTAAAAATAAACATAACCATCATCACCATTATCCTCCACATTGCTGTTATCTATGTTTTATTGTTGTTCCTTGAAAAATGTATTCATATGATGAACCATGTTTACCTCCGCTTAGTCTTATATGGACTGAAAAGTGCTTTAATATTATGTTTAACTCAGGCGCCCCCTAGTGACAAAGTGGTAGAAACACAAGCAACGTTTACAACCAACAGAGAAGCAAATTAACAGAGTACAATCTACTGAAAAAGTACTGTTGCTTAACTGATTTTTTCTTTGAACTAGTAAAGAAATATTCATTGACATCCATTGTAAATACTGGTACTGCCGCACTTTTCTAAATTTAGTACTAAATCTCAGAAAACAGTTTTTTCAAAAGTCAAGAATGAACGTTTATTCTATTGTTAATTGCTATGATAGTGCGTTTGGAGGATTCACTTCAGTGTCTTTAGTGGTAGGCGTGGTTGGTAGGAGGAGAAGCAGGGTCAGTACTGATGACACACCTGGGCTACAAGTCCTACTTCTATCAAAGCTATGATTCCATTAAATCTGAGAAGGCTGGTGTCTTCTGACAGATACCCTGAAATATATACTTTAAAAGCTCCAAAACCACCTAATGTAACTTTGAATTATTGAGATGAATGTTTACAGAGAGGGACATCTTTTTAATACAAGAAAAGCCACTCCTAAATAAATCTGTGCCCCAGTCGAAAAAGGCTGGACACGCTTCCTAACGAGGGATCAAAAGGAAATATGTATAAGAATAAGAATATCAGCAAAGACATGTTTCTTAATGTTTGGTACTTGTATTTCCGTACACATGTGCATGAATGATGTGTACCCAAAGGAAATAGTGCAGTGATTTTGTCCAACTATTTTATGATCAAAATCATTTATGAGGGGCCAAGAGTTTGATTCCCTCTGTTTTGTGTTTCCAGGGGGACCTCGTCGAACAGGAGGGGGATTCTCAGTCCCAGGGCAGCACCACGTGGCTCGTGGACCCAAAGGAATCCAAGCGCACTATCAGCACTAAGTACGAGACCACCATATTCTGAGTGGACCCCTCTTCCTCCTGACTCCTCCGGGGCCTGGTCTCACCTTCCTCTTCCTTCTCCTCCTCCTCCTTCTGTGTGCCTTTCACTGTGACTCTGCTTCTCTGAGCTGGACCCCCTTTGACCTCCTCTGGGCCCCCCTTCCCCTCCTGCACTTGTGTCCTCATCTGAAAAAACAACACATCCTTGGACAGCTTAACCACCTCCTCTTCTTCACTTTTTAATTGATTATCAATTCAACTCTTCCACTCTATATTAACCCTCCTCCAGCCTGCCACCCACCTTCACTGCTGTTCTCCTCTTTGTTTACCTCGAATGCTTCCTGAACTCTCTGCACAATGCTTCCTTTTTCTTCTTCTCCTCTGTCAACATCCCACTATTGACTCTTGGTGATAAGCTCTCTTTTTTTTCTCCCTTGGTCCTCTTCCTGCTCTATTAGGCGACGGCCGCTCTGAGGCTTTTCACTCTGATCTTTCAACTCTTCTGACTTCTCCAACTTCTGAGAGAAAATCAGATTTTCCTGCAGTCGAGAGAGAGAGAGAGAGAGAGAGAGAGACCCACCACACATATCCTGAACCTGGACGGACACGTTTCCTGAGGAAACTGAGAATATGGTTCCTGTAATTCTGGACCGTAGCAGACTGTTCAGAGGTTGCGCTGTTTTCGGGGTTACACAGGATTAGGGCGATATTATTCACTGTCAGCTGTCTGCTGAAGCCAGCGGAGGCTACGATCTTAACACTGTGATAAGGTCTGTTGGAGCTATACAAGGAAGCATTTTGTTTTTTGGGGGGGGGGGGATTTTCCAGCAGATAAGGAACAGCATGTTAGTGGTCCTTGCTGCTCCAGAAAATAGACCTTCTTAAGACTTGTAGCCCTCCTCTGACTATCAATGAGAGCAAAAAAAGAAAGCTGTTTCTGAGGTGAACTAACTAGAACTAAGCACTTTTAACAAAACCAAGAGTGTGCAAGAATAAGTGCATCTTCCTCTTTCCTGTCTCTTCTTTTCTTCATTTCACAACAAATGCCTTCTCTGTTCATCTGTATCAGCATTGCCTTTTCTTTTGCCAATCTCACCGGGTTAATATGTCACGGGTGCTTTGTGAAAAGAGTTAATTATTGTTCTATTGGAGGGGAGGGGGTAATCCGTCACCATCATTCTGTTTGTGTCCATTAGTTCAGTTTTTTTTTTTACTTTATTTAACCTCGCTCCTTTGTGTGTTTGTGCGTTTTTCTTGTTTCTCCTGCTCTATAGCTGAACACTGTGGCCACTTCCAGCCAGTAAGAAAAGAGGACAGGAAACAAAATGAGCCCTGTTGCATGCTGGGTAGGACGGTTTCTGTTGAAAAAGTGACCTACATCGAATGCATCAGGTTGCACCACTAGTTGGATCGAGATCACTGCAGAAACACAGGACCTGGAGCCCTGCGAGGCTGATCAGTTCATCTGACCTCGCTCACATAGACACGGCAGACACACACACACACACACACACACACACACACACACACACACACACACACTCCTCCATTTAACTTTTAGTACGTAAGAAAGTGATGGTTGATCCAGGCAAACTATTTGTTTTCTCATAAACTGTTGCCTCCTTGTTCATGAAAGTACGGTGGCTGACTAGGACAAACACCCGGCAATGGCCAAATGATTTTTATTAGAAGACAAAGGCTGCAAAAGCGCTCCAGGTCTGCAGGGGGCGCACATGGGAACTGGAATTTGGCTTAACATGTTTAATGTAGAAAACCCTTCACACAGGAGATCAGCTTTTGCCCTCGTCAGCCACTGAATGTAAATCTTCTCTTTCAGGACGTGTAGCTGCAATGTTTTAATACTGAACGTTTAGTTGAAAGGGGAAACTTTGTTTTGCAATGCTTCAAAGGTACAAGCTCAAAGAGAAAGACCTTACACTGTAGGTACACACTCCTTCCTGTTGCAATATGTTGTAGCATATCTTTATGACCGTCAGCCTATCTTCCACAAACTACACACAAAACTGTGATTAAACAATATAATCTTGCACAGGAGGAACTCTCATAACGAACTTAAAGGGCAGAGGAACTGACACTACAAAGACTGTTTGATATTGATAGTAATAATAATGATGATATAATATAACAGGGGGTGGCTTTTATTTGATTTGAAAGTCTTCTCTTCTTCTTTTTTTTTATGTTTTAATTGTTTTATAGGACAATTGTGTGTCCTAACGCTGTAACTGGATGAGGTGTGGTTCACTGCAGTTCTCCCTCTCAATCCCCTGCTTCCTTTGTTCCATTAATCCCGACAAGTTTAATCACCAAACCCTGCCATGCAGGCTGCTACGTCATTAGATTTTAGCCGCAGAACAGAACAACAGGTCACACAGCATGTTTCTCCTAGCTAACTCCCCTGTATGTTGACTGTTAATGGTACTTTTTGTTCGTTGGATGTGTATATGGGTACATATGATTTAACTGTTGCGTATGTGGTACGTTGTCAGGCCAGTACGATAACTCTACGGTACACTGTCTCCAGCTGGCTGCTGTCGGCACCTTCAGCCATCAGCCTGGGCCCCTTCTGCTTTTGCACATTGCTGAGGATCAGGAGAGATATTATCGCGACTAATCTGATGACGTCAATGATGAGAATGATATTGTACATGAATCTAGCGCTCTGTATTTTGATACTTGAATGAATTTTTGCTTTTATAGATATCTAAATATATATATATATGTATATGTATGTATGTATGTACGTATGTAATTTTTGACGCTGGTCAAAAGAGAGAAAAGGACTATGTCTTATAAAGTTAAACATATCGTGAATAAATACCCTGTGATTTAAGAAAAAAAAAAAAAAGGCTGAGATAACGATGACTCAGAAGAGGGACCTCACTTCAGAAAAAAAAAGATTGTAAATAATCTTGGGCTTCCAGTCTTTTTTTATGATTATTTTTCATAATTGTACAACTAATAAATGGCGCTATTAGAAATTCTGCTCCTGTTTGCTCTTTTCCTTTTTTTAATTTACTTATTGTGCTCAATGTTATTGTTGAATTGTTTGTCTTTTTTTTCCCTAACTCGGTAGTAATTTCTGTCCAATTTCTAACAGCATTATAGTTCCAACACTAGTATCATCACTTACGGAGCTCTGTGTGTTGATGCTTTTTTATGTTCCCGATTTATCAGACGGTAAACGAGGTCAGTGGATGTGCCAAGATGAAACGTTTCGTCCCCATCCTTCTATTTCATAAACCTTTCCCTGCTGAAGGATGGACAAAAGCAGCTCAGAGCCAGCACAGGTGTACGGGAGATAAAGGATCCAGGCACACAAGCTGACAGTAAAGAATCCTCAGAGCTTCTTCTGTCAGTCTGAAAATAAAGCTACTGCGGTGAGTACAGGCTGCGTAGTCATTAGAAGCCCAAAATGCATCAAGATGTTCCTACAGTTTACTCATTTGGATTCCAGCATTGCACAATTATCTCTATTTAAAAGTTAAAGGTCATTCCCTGACCACTTGATTCCATTCACAGTCACGTAAATTAGATCTGGGAAGACCATTTGGACTTAACAAACGGAACAAGAGAAGACTGTGTGTCTATATTGTGACTGTCATGTTTAAATTATTTAAATGAGATACATTCAAATATTATTTTCAAATTGTCCAATCTCCAGGAGTTGCATAAAGATAATTTTTTATCTTTGTCCAAATGAAAATGAGTCAACAGAAGAAAAGGACTACTAGCATGATTTAAATGCAGCTGCCTTTAGATCACCTTTAAGTCACCAAAAAAACCTCATTCAGAGTTTCCTGAGAATGAATTACTGAGTGTTTAAATAGGAAAGAGGGGAAGTTATTTACTTTCAAAATCAGTTGGCAATAGCAAACAGGTAGTATTACTGCGTGCAGACCAAATTTGCTGCCTTTTCCCCACTAGTGCATAGACCACAATTTACTACTCTACTAGAAAATACATACACCTAAACAAGAAAGCCCTGAGAGCTACAGGACTACTTTTCCCTGTGGAGATAGATTGTTCTGGCTTCTTCCAACAGGAGTCTGGATCATGCTTTTTAAATAACATTAGGTATGGAAAAGTCTCAAAAAAAACAAAAAAACGTCACAGGCAAGCATTAGAAGACAGGACAGGAAGGTTGCGTCTCAGTAAGAGGTTCAGGGTTTAGATCCTGGACTGGGCCTTTCCCTGTGAGGCTCTGATGACCTGTCTTTCTCCTACTGATGTCTTGACAACACTTTGGAGTTATAATAATTAACCGGAAGCTAAATAAACATATTCAACTTAATCTAATAAAACATTTCCAATTTTCAGGATGTTACACAAAGTTCCTTAAAGCTTGTAATGGGTCATAAACTTAATGGAGATGGGTAGTAGTTGTGCAGGATTGGCTTTGGTTGTGGTGGTGGGGCCCACGGTGTTATCTTTACATATGGCCCAGTATTCATGATGACTCAGCTGCACTTCAGGATAGAAAGTGGTTTAGGTAAAACAAAAAAAAACAAAAAAAAAAGGCTGTGGCATAACATTAGCCTGTAATCATTCTTAAATATTGCCCCCTTGTAAATGTGAATCCTGCCTGTTCGCATAATGATGCTTGAAGCTAAACCTGTCATGTCACGTTACCATGAAATAACTCGACAGCTGCAATCACCTCTGATAGAAATGTACGGTATGGTGGTATGAAAATAAGGTAACTCTTGTGACGTCACTCACCATTATGAGCGCATCAGCGTTGGACATGGGGGGTGACTTCTAGGGCAGATGGGAATATGAATTTACACATCAGCTTATTTTCATAGATATGCAGCGGACGTCACAGATGTACAGCTGCTGTTCCTGATTGTTAAGGCTGATATCTACACAAAGGACCGCTTTGTTCTCAGTCCAAAGTGCATAAACTGACACGGGTTTCTCAGAGCATGTACCCTGTAAATAATGACTTAGTTTTTATATGACACCAATTTCTACATACTGTATGCTCCATTTATTGGGATATGTAAGTATGTTTTAATTACTCTAAACTGTGCAGATTGGTTTTAAGCCATTGTATAAAACAAGCTCAACAGGTTGTGAGAATCCACTTGGCTGCTGTACTTCCTTTCTGTTCAGTAATAATGCAGTTATAAATGCATCATTGGAGATGTTTTAAATGATAATGACTTCTTAATAGAATTATACCACCCATCATTGGCGTCCTCGAGATAAGTCAAAACAGATACTACAGTTCTAGATTCATTTTCTAAAGAAGGGATACTCTATGGGTGATAATGTTGGCATCTCTGTTGACAGACGTGTTAAATGAATGCCACATACTGTTTTGCAAAATGTCTTGGTCCCCACAGGATACAGTCAACTGACTTTGGTGTTCCCCTGACTTTTTTTTTAGTGGTTACTTTCAAGTTATCATGAGCAGTCCAATTTACAACATCTTGAAAGGCTGGATTGCCACAGCTTTTACAAGAGTTAGCCTCTTCGGCGTCCACAGAGGATACATTTGAATGACTTTTATCTTCAATCACCAAGTAAAAAAGTGTAGTCAGTGTCATTTCTTCTACGTCAATGTAAAGAATTAAAGCAATATTTCTTGTCTTCTGATAATGATCCTTTCTAAAATTGGTAACGCACTGACTCTGTGACCTTGCAAGAACTATTTCTGATAACCATCTTGAGAAATTCTGGATTATTTTCTTAACTTTTCGCACACGTATTGGCTAAAAGCACCTATGCGTCAAGAATCACAGGGGAGTTAGCAGTGCTGCCCTGTTGAATAAAAATAATGTGCCTACATTAAAATAATTCACAACTAAAAATAGAAGTCATATAGCCTCATATAAAACACATCAGTTCGTCTTTTTCAGAATATTAACGCATGTGCCTACACATCAGTGAACTTTGTTTCATTGAATATCATGTAGCCTATATATATTTTTTAGAAGAAGTAGCCTATCAATTGCAGGTCTATATTTTAACAATCTATTTTCCATATCTTTGCAATTCTGTTCATTTAGACTCTTCACTTTTAATTGGCTCTTCCTCGCTGACGTCTCGCCGTAGACGTTCGCTGATTGGCCAAAAGCCAACCTGTGAGGAAGTTAACTGGCTTACCTGGCTTATTACCTGACATTATTTCCCACCTGTTCCATCAGTTCTTTCTAGTCGTGTAGGAGTGTTTCCAAGAACAAGGCGGCAGCTGAGCGACTGTGAGCGGAGAGAGCTTCACTGCCGATATGGACTGACCCTGAAAACAACATTTTGTGGGTTATTTCTTGAATACGCAGAGTTTTACAAAGACTGTTTTTCATTCCCGGTAAGTTATCTTGAAACCCTTACGTTTTGGCGTTAGTGTTTATATCTGCTTTATTAATGCATAGCCTACAGAGTATTTGCAAGCTATGAAGACAACGTGTTTATTATTATATTCAAGCCAGTTGGCTACATTGTGTCTGTAAATCCCTATTCTGTGTGTGCTGACAAAATACAAGACCTTTAAGACCTTTAAGTTAGTTCTTTCTTTAATTTTCGACTGTGACCTATTTAAACAGAAAGTTATCCGCAGTTTGGGTCGAGGGAAGTTAAATAGTAAAGACAGTGAAAAAGGTGCAGAAACTCTTACATGTTCCCACACATCACCATCGTTTCCAACCACTTTTCATACTTGTGCAATCCTCTTATTCATCAAACTGCACATTTATCATAAGTGTTTAATCATTGAATATTTGGAGGCTTGGTGAGGCAGATAACGAACACATATTTGCACATGTTTCATGTCAATAACAGACATTTTTTTTGTGGCACAACAAGCCAAGTTAAACATTAATGAAATATATCTGTTCACTCCAGCAGGTTTTGGGTTGCACAACCTTTTGTTTACTGCTAATCATTAAACCAGTTCTTTGGCTGTCCTTGAACGCATAGCACACTACTTTTTTTTTTTTTTAACAACATGCCTTAGTTTGTCATCATGGAGTCTAAATGATGTTTTCTTGCGTGTAATGCTGGCTCACAATATGTACATCTGTTCTCACAGTAAACACATTAAAGACCTGCAGCTGATCCGCCTCCTGTCATAGTTTAAACACAATATTATCTCCTGACTTGAAGTCAAGTTGAACGCCCAAGTACATCAAAGTGCCCAGACGAATGTAAGCAAGCAAAGTGACATTCCTGTCACCAATAAGTCCTGACTCAGCTGTGGGTGTAGTAGTGAGCCTCCCCACAGCTGCATTACAGGTTTGCATGCCTTGTTCATGTTTTAGTTCATGTTTGAGAGGTGTTGGCTGCTCCAGTTTGGGCATTTTGTCTCTCGCTCTCGGCTGATCTGAATGGTTAATGGGAGGGACGGTAATTAGCAGCTAACAAAGCCTTCACTGACAAGCCTTTGAGTGCCTCATCAACAAGCTTTTGTTACCAGAAAACATGTGATGGGTTGTTGGTGATCATGTTTTTCCTCAACTGGTGTTGCAATGTTTTCATGTCAACAAGAACCCATATGTCAATGTTGTTTGTCATTGCTCCATAGCAGACGTTTCCGACTTAGTCGCAGAACAGTTTCATGATCACTGCAGACAAAGTCACCTCTTCTCACTTTATCGACAACAAGTGAACGTTTCTGCCTGGGGAAATTGAGTTTCTAGATCTTTGTTAATTCACACTTTCTGTAACGTATAGAATTGTTATTTCTCAGTCAGTTTTTTTTTTTTTTTGAAGTTTTCTTTTCTCGCCAATAATACTGTAATCATCAGAGATCTTGCAACATACATAGATTGCTGTAGAACAGGGTTAAAGTGGAAAATGTCACATCAAGAAGTACAGATGATTCATGGAGTAATCAGTTGAGAATTTTCATCATGGTTCAGTTTTGACTCATGTTTGACAGTTATGATGCTATTAAAGAATGACATAAGGTGTGATCAAATGAATCAGAGCTGTAAACAATAAGGCTTGAGTTTTCTTAAACGAGTCTAAAAATGTTTCAAT